TTTACTTCGTGACTGTGCAGGGAAAAAACTATCTCGCATCAATGTCTTCCTGGACGCTTCGCGTCGAGTTTCATTCATTAAGTAACCCTATCAGCTTACGCAAATATCTCATGGTATGCTGATATCCCGAACAATCTCTACAGGAGTTCAAACGGACAAGCAATACTAGAAATCTTGGGAACCACGAACCAAGTCGTCATCGCAACAGATAGAAGCATGCCTATCCCCACCGTCCACACGCTCTTATCTAATGTATCGGCTGATGCAACACCAGTAAAACCCATTCCTCCGATTGACCAATGAAATTCGAAGCGACCTAAAGACCGATTCACCTATGCAACCGTTGTTGCTGAGTATACTCGAAGTGCGACCTCAGTCGCCTCACCCAGTACAGCCGCAAAACGAGTCAAGGACCAGGTGCAATCTGCACAGACGTCACTAAATCCCTCGATAAGCGTGCTTCCCACCTAACCGAAGACCCGGCGGCTCTACGGGGCCTTGACACTTATATGCACCACCGTTCCTGAGTCCAAGGCAAACTCCTTAAGGGGTAAACTGCTAGATGACTTAAAGCAATGGAATTTGTGGTAAAATCGGAGTTCAAGTCAGTCCGACTAATGTAATGCGCATCACTAGACATCCAACCTCAAATCATTATGGGGAGCCCCGGTTAATGCGAATAACATTGGGATCAACAGATGATGTCGAGACAGTGCTTTTGTTGGCATACCGCCTGTGGACTGAAACAGTGGAATACGCATATTTCCGGATGTTCCATGGAGCGAACGCCAGCAGGACAAAAATAATTCAAACGACCACCACACGAAGAATAACAAAGTAATTATTTTCATTCATGGCGTGCCGGAGCTATCAACAACCAGAAACGAAGAGGCCCACGCTCATGACCTGGAAAAATGGCGTTACATAAGTGAAGGTCTCTGTGCGGGCCACGTCATACTTCAGTCGATTACACGGTTACCCGTGTCGCCAAACTACAGGGGCAGTGACCAGAGGATACTGAAACTGATAGTGCAATCACGACAGATGGCCGTAAACTTAATGTGTAGGTGGCAGGTACTACGCAACACACTCTTCGGAACTACGACTGAAGACAGTAGTTAGAGAGTTGCAGCCACTCGCTGTTCTCGCGGAAACGACACCACCCGCGACTCAGTATAACCACAACAGCGATTCAGAAATCTGTGCTAAGACCCATAGATATCGAGAAGGCTGCCGATGGACTTCATACCGCAGATGCAAGTGAGACCAAAAACAGAGTGCATTCCTATCGAGATTTTGCAATCCATCCACAAAACAATTAGGTGCTGGCCTCTCTTCGGTCGGCACAAATCCATATCAGTCATGTGTCCTTTGTCAACAGCTTTTGATATCCGAGAAGTTTTCCTGTATATACACTAACGCTCAAGGCTTACTGAGCAAACTTTCCGAAATGCGGCTGCTTCAAGGATCCAAAGCCTGTGATCTCATCGCTATAACGGAGACATGGCTACGCCCTGACGTAAGTGACATGGATGTCTCACTGCCAAGCATGTCCATTGTTCCACACGACCGACCCAGCAAAGGTAGAAGGGTAGCTCACTAGTTCGCAATGACCTCCAAAGTGTGATCATTGATGATCCCGTCAGCATGGTACAAAATTCCATTTGGTGCCATCTACGCTGAGAACGCGACAACACTTGCTTAGTGGCGGCCATTTACTGTCCTCCTTCACGTCAGATATGGGCTCCAATCTGGCATCTGCAATAAGAAGGGTGATAAACACAACTTATAGTCAGATTCTCATTACTGACCATTTCAATATCCACGCCCTGTAATCCCAAGCATCTCCCGGAGAACAGTTTAAGGCCAATCTACAAGTTTGTCTCCATTTACCCGTTATATGGCCATATCAATACTCCGACTCGATCCGAGAGAAAGATAAACCGTCAATACTGGATCGGATATGCATCAACGAAGAACTAATGATCGAGAGTGTGATCCTCGAACGTTCCCTTGGGCCACAGCGATCACGCAGTACTACTCTTCGAATACATGTGCTATGCGGAATATCCCGCGGAAATTGCCGACACAGCGAGGACATGCGTACGCTCCGACATATTAGCTCGACTAAGTGAGACAGCCAACTGGACCTTTCTCGCTGACGAGGCACCAGCTAGTGAATGGAAACAATTCGTCAGCCAGTTTAACTCTGGTTGCCAAAACGTCAGCGACTAAGACCTTCCGCCCGAGAAATGTGGTCTCGTTTCTGCGAAGCAGGACAAGCAAGTGTATAGCGGTGCGAAACTCAGCCTGGCACATCTACAAACTCTGCCTGAGCACGGAGAACTGGATGGCCTATGCAACCCAACGTAAGCACTGTACTCAGCTTGTTCGCGAGGACAGAATGGCGTACCAGCAGAAGCTGGCAGTTTGCATGGCCTCAAACCATAAGCTTCGGTATCAACACGTCAACAGTCTACGTGAGTTGAAACGGGGAATTCCTCCTCTTCAAACAGCGGACGGACCCACACGGACACCGAAGGAGAAGGCGAATATCCTGTGCCTACAATATACATTTCAGTGCAATCACTGGCCACCTAACCCTATGAAGATGGTTGTTTTGCCCCAAAAACTCACTCACATACCCACCACAGCAGAAGCTGTATTAAAAAGGCTCTTGAGTATGCGCAAACACAACTCTCCTGGAGTTGATAATATACACACGAAATCGGTAGCGGCAGCTGGAGAGAGTTTAGCTGAGCCTTTGGCTCGATTCTTCCAACGTTGTTTTGAGGAAATGTGCGCGCCTGACATGTGGAAACACGGGCTAATTACTCCCATTCGCAAGGGTGGTAGTCGTTCCAATCCAGCCAACTATCGTCCCCTTATGTTACTACCGGTTCTTTCAAAGGTCATGGAAGCTATCATTTCTGATGCACTAAAGGCCTGCTTGGAAGAATTTAACTACCTCGCAACGGAACAGCATGGCTTCCGACGAAATCGATCATGCACTACAAATCTACTACAAGCAAGATCCAGCTGGACTGAAGCAGTAGACTCTGGCACAGTAGTTGACGTAGTCTTCCCCGACTTCCCAAAAGCATTCAAACGGTTAGATCATAACATTCTGCTCTTCAAACTCCAGACCTTTGGTATTGGTGATCCCCTCCTAGGACGGATTAGAAGCTATCTTCTGCACCGGCGCCAGGAAGTAGGTGTGCGTGAATCCCCGTCAGATCCCATCGGAGTTGAATGCGGAGTACCAAAAGAATCGGTACTACGACCTCGATTATTGTTGACGTATATTCAGGCTACCACATGCATCATAAGCCCGAACTGCCTTCCTTACGCTGACTACATCAAGGTGTGAGGGGCGATAAATACAACAGACGATATCCCAGTACTTCAAGCTGATCTGGATAGGGTTTATGTATGGTTAAACCAGAATCCACTTCGATTCAATACGGGCAAATATAGAGTGATGCACCTACCGCACAATATGGTACACTTCTACAAACTCGGCAACCAGGAGCTTCAAACCTCTTTTGGCGAGAGGGATCTGGGGGTTTTGGTCCAGGTCGACCTAGGTTGTTCGAAACGGGGTGAAACGGCGTCTAAAAGGGACATCCTACATGTGGGCCTCCTGAAGCGTTCATTCGGACGATTCGACCCATCGATTATTTTTACAATTTCTCGGTTCATACCTACGGCCACTTGTGGAATAATCGCTACAGGTCTGGCAGTCATGGCTGGGGAGAGATCGCACCGTCTTGGAGATACACCAACATCGGGGAACCAAAAATGTCAAGGGTCTGTATACTGTGCCGTATGAACGAAGGCTACAAGTGCTTGGGGTCTTCAATGGACAGTTTCGGCAATTGCACGGAGATCTCATTTTGACTTACCAGATTTTGTGAGATCCCAACCACACGTTCCACTACTTGTTAAAGCTGTCACAACAGCAATTTGAGAAGCCATCTCCAACTGGCGGAGCAACACGGTCGCTTGGAATGCCATCGGAATTTCTTTCTGTACGCGTTTTCAGAAGGTGTTATGCCCCACCGGAATCTGTCATATTTGCTTCCACGCTGACAGAGTTCAAAGGCCGAGTTCACCGTGCACTTGTTTCGCTGCGCCATCTTATATTACCCATTACACAAGCGTCTGTAAGCGATTTCACTGGCAGCCATAGCACAGATTTCGTTCTACAATTTTCACTTCCTCTATGTGTACACCAGAAGGAGACACGATTTTACCAACATCCTATTTACCGTCATTGCTTATGGATTTATCGTGGATTTACAGTTTGTACAACGTATACTTCAGTGAGTTCACTGGTACAAAGCTAATCTTGCTAACAATTATTTTATATTTTGTGGTTTTACCATAATCATTCTACGGGACCTATTAAGCATTAACTTTTTTACCCATATAAAACTGTTTCATTTTTACGTTGTTACATCTAACATGTAAACCGAAGATACCATGTTGAGTTAAGACTAGATGAAAATTTAACAATGAACTTCAGTTCGCGCTGAGACTAATCAGTTTCATAGAACATGATCAACTGGAGATGATGTATTTTTGACAGAAAAACTTTATCTGCCTACAGGTAGCATGTAGACTTTGGCGGAAGGAAAAGTCTAGTTCGTCATTTTCAAACTTTTTCTTACCATACTTGATGACCACTGGACGAGGTGTTCGCGTTAATTTTCCGCAGTGATGTAGATGTACATTCGGGGTATAAAGCCCATTTAAACGGCTTGACTTGAGATAAGCGACGGATAGTAATTTATTGTCTCTACAGTAGGATATTTCAGACATTTGAGGAAAACGAGCTTAAAAGTTCATTCATCTGTGCTTTAGATTTATCTGTTGGAGATTGGTCACCGCAGCGAATTGGACTACCGGAAGCTCTTTGGACTCTTCAAGGTTGCGTCATGTATGCATCGAGTGTCTGGATTGGCAAACATGTTTGGTAAAACGTGATTGGAACTTACCCGGAACAACTGCAGCTCATGTTCCCTGGTTAGCCGCTCAAGTTCATACTCGTACTCACGTCGAAGGCTGCTGACATCGCTGGAGGCGCGTGCGTATGCAGAGGAGGGGCCGTGATTCCGTCTGGCTGCTGACTCGGCATCTGCAGACCGACTGGTCAACATCTGAAGCTCCAGTCGCTTGGCCAATTGGTTTCCAGTCCATATGTAGTGAATCTGAAGCTGAATTTAATTAGACAGATTAGACATACAGTGGACTGCGGATTGGAACTCAGGTAGGATATGTAGTGCATTGTTGCGGTAGAAAAGGATTAACTAACCCTACTCGTACTTGTGACCTTTGTCGAGTGGCGATGACAGCCTGAGAATACGACGAAATTTCAAGCATATCTTTATTTAGGGAAACTTCGGAAATTTGCAGTAGCCTTCGATTTTCGTTTATCAAGTGACAACGCAAACAGTCTCTGGGTCACCAATAGTTGTTTTGTAGGGAAATCTTTTGATAAAACATCACACATTTGCGTGTGTTTTGCTTTGTAACGAACGTCAACAGATTTTTTAGTATGAACCGAAGCAGCGTAGGCATTCAGTGCCTTGGTACTTTCAACGGATCCTAGTCATACTTCTAATGGGCTGCAACGTTTTCGCATAGAAACCTGTTCCGCTAAATGACTGTCTGCTGACTGACGTCAAAACGTGAATTTCACCTGTAATCTAGTTGGAATTTGAGATAGGCATCATAGCCAAATTTAGATCCCCTATCCTTTAATTTTGATTCGGCGTGAACAGCACTGAATTCTTGTAATGCGCAGGACCAGCAAGGCCATCATTATATCCTGCCCTAGAGATGGGAGCATGTCGCTAGCAAACACTGCTAAAATTCCACAATCCTCTGTGTGCTTCCCCGCATCGACAATCGACGTCGTTGACACAATTTATGACTAGATGGGACCGTGTTCCCCTATGTGAAGTGGCTTTCTCCACCGTAGCACTGCGGCTTGCTGATATCAGCACCTACGCCATCTACTTGCTAGAAACTACTAAACTGCCACTGCATGTCACTCTAACTTCCGCACATACATAATGAATCATATCGGTGATATAGCGAAGATAAGAATATGAGTACCATTTGAGCTAGTCCATACTTGTATAGTGGGGAAGACATGGTTACCTTAACAGCAGTTCGGCAAGAATCACTTCAATGTACTGATATGAACGTGCCCACTCCCTAACGCGCGAAATATATTTACGGTCATTGCGAAATAGAAATGATGATCTGATTCACAAAATACTAGAAGCTATTGGTAACGATGTCAAAGAGGGGCTAATGACTGATAGAAAATCCCCCAGTCACTGACCTCTAAGAAGACTGTATGACAGTTCGTCTGATCACTGCCCATAACGTCACACAGCCTCCAAGATACTCCCACCTCTATAACATGAGTCCGTTAGATTCCGGGACAGCTGACTAGCTTTAACTACATGCGATTAGCTAAAGTAAATAAGCGGCGCAACACACTAGCGGTCCAAAGAGAAGGGAGCAGACAATCCATTGCAATTCGCCTCTGAAGGATTAGGCAGTGGACGCTCTATGCAACAGACCGAAACCACTCTGGGGGGCTAGGCAATAAATACTTCCAAGCAATGATTGTCAGCCGGCCCCGCAAGGGTCGGCGTAAATACACGGGAGATATTCGTGCGTTCAGAAACCATTCTGGTATCCGTTGCTCTCGGTTGTTTGTAACCAAAAGCGCAAAACCTTCACGGCAAATTGGTCGAGCTTCGATCTCGTCAAATCTCTATGTGTTGGGACCTCAGCATGGTCACCGAGACATGGCTGAACGGTGTGACTACGGGCGCCGAGATCGCAATACCTGGTATGTCACTTATGTGCAACGACCGGCCCACTAAGGGAGGCAGTGTAATCCTTTATCACCGTTTCAACCTTTTCATTGCGTAAACAATCCTGAAATTCAAACCCTGGACGAATTATTGCGCTGCCTACACCTCAGACAGTGTAATGCTACGCGAAATCCAGCGTGGCTTAAGCGCACTCGACTTATGGAGGTCCAAATGGATGATGACATTCTCTGCTGATAAATGCCACGTAGTATCCTCCAAATATGACATCATACCAGGTTCGCTTACTATTGATGGCAAACCATTGTCTCACCGTCACACTATCCGTGACCTAGGGATCCACTACTCAAACACCCTTAACATTGCCGAACACGCAGCACATAATGTAGCTCAAGCCAGTCGGAGAATTGGGTTTCTGTTCAAAACATTCAAATTAAAATAATCAGTTAACACCATGTACAAAGTAAAAACACGTCCATTGCTTGGTTATAGCTCCATCATCTATCGCAATTCTAGAGTGAGCGATCATATAGCATTGGAACGTGTACAACAATCATTTACTACGCGTCTACTAGGCTATTCCGCCACCTTTTCTTATGTGGATCGTTGCATTACTTTAGAACTTGATCCACTGTGGCTGCGAAAGATGAAAATTAACCTTTTCGTCTCCTTTGCTATAACTATCCAAAAAATGCATTCCGCACACCCAACGGTACAATGAACAGAATTGACAATTTATCATACTCAAAATAACTACAACAGCAAAGTAAAAGTGCCAAGGTCACAAAAAACTGTACGACAACTTTTTCCTTAACCGGTACTCCGTATTATGGAACAGGCTTCCATCTGAGCTACGTTAACCCCAGTCAGGGATAAAGTTCCGACATGCTATACATTCATTACTAAAGCTTGAAAAAGCGATTGGTATACTGCGACCAACCATGACAAATGAATTCACGTACGAAATAGGTACAAGATGGATATAGCCTCAATACCTGAGTACTTTTTCTTTCTGTTGTTGCCAGATCTTGTTACCCTCCCCATGGCTATCAGTAGATAGAAGCTGTTTTCTAACATGTATCCTGATTACCATGAAGTTTACGCTTATCAAAACGGAAATGTATCCTAGAGTTCCTCTCTAGCAAACTGCCTCACACTCGTTCCGCAATACTAATCATTTTCTACTTTTTCCTGGAGCCCACCCCCTAGGCACGTGCTGCATTTCTCCGTGCTCCGCAGAAACCATATAGATAGTATCTCTGCTTTTGACTGGATTCATCTGAGGGCACTATCAGACAATCTACCAGGATCATCTATGGTTACGATCACTCCGAACGCTTAGCATTTTCGAAATCAAGTTCTCCTTTTAACGAACGCAGCTAAACTGTTGGAACGACAGTAAACTTGCTTTCCATTGTATACAGTTTTCTCTCCATGGAGAGATTCACCTTGCAGAGCGATTGTATACACTGGGCCTCGCCCGTCGACTACCTCGTACGGTCCTTTCCACTTCGCTAGGAGTTTCCTCTCCCCTGGGCCGCAAGTGGGATAGCGTTGATGGTCCCTGTACTTCACTTTCGGACCAATCTGAAACTCGATATTCCTTCCACCTTTGCTGGTCTGGAACTTCGCCATCATCCGCGCCTGAGTCACCTTTAGGTTGCGGTTGGCGGTCTTCCGGTTATTCCGTGTCTCCTCGGGAGATATAAGGCAAGTTCGCTACATTCCAATCTCTAGGTCCACAGGTAGACGAGGTAGTCGACCGTACATCAAATGGAATGGTGATTTCTTTGTGGAAGCCTGTTTGGTTGCTCGATGGGCTAGCAACAGTAGCGGCAACGTTTCCTCCCAGTCTCCACCTTTTGCTGCTATCCACTCCTTGATTGTTCTATTGTTACGTTCCGTCAGGCCATTTGTTTGCGGGTGGTATGGAGTGGTGCGCAATTTCTTAATGCCAAGTTTCTTTAAGCAGTTCCGGAATTCTTCACTCTCGGAGCATGGCGCTTGGTCGGTTAATATGGCCTTTGGGATTCCGTGAGTTGCTACCAAGTGATTCATGACAGCATGGGTAACGGTGTTAGCCCATTGATCCGGGATTCCTGTCGCCTCAATCCATCGCGTGAAGTGCTCCGTCATCAATACAATATATTGGTTGCCACGCCTGGTCAATGGAAACGGCCCCATCACGTCGACCGGCTAAAGTTCACCAAATTCCGAGACCGGGATCGTCGTCATTTGCTGCTGCATTCCTCGGCAATCCGTTTTCATGAGCTGACATTGTCTGCACGAAAGCACGCACTTCTCAACGTCCCTTTTCATCCCCGGCAAATACGCGCGTTGTTTCAGCAGATCGTAGGTCTTGGAACAACCTATGTGCGTCATCTTGTGACAAGAAACTACCAGATTCCGTCTTAGTTTCATTGGAATGACTGGCACTGAAGGGTTGCTACCTCCTGGTATCCACATTAAGATCCCTGCTTCGTTCACTTGCAGCTTTCCTAGGTCTTTGGCAAACGGTCCCAGCTGCTTAAGTTAGTTTTTGTTGAAGTTCGTCTGACCAGCTAATCGCGCGGTGATCAACTTGTGCAGGAGTTTGTCACTACGTTGCTCAGTTGCCAACCGTTCTGGATCCTGCTCACACAGTATACCGTTAATACCGAAAGCTACGCTCGGCAGATCATCATCATCTATCATGAGTGACAAGAAATCCGCCGTTTGATTTTACCTCCCCGGCACGTGTTTTATCGTGAAATCTTACTCTTGTAGGCGCGATGCCCATCTCGCCAGCTTTCCTGTGGGTCTTTGGCAGACTTAATCCACTCCAACTGTATGTGGTCTGTTTCGACGTGAAATCGCTGACCCAGAAGATATGGCCGCTATTTATCTAACGCTCAGACAATTGCGAGACATTCTTTCTCTATGGTTGAGTATCTGCGTTCCGCAGGCGTCAAAGTTCGGCAGGCATACTCAAGTGTCCAATGGTTTTGTTTCAACACCGCACCGATCCCGACATCGCTGGCGTCAGTGGCTACCGTGAACAGCTAACCAGCAATGGGCAATTTCAGGGTCAACTCCTGCCTTCCCATTTCCTGTAGAATCTGAACAAAGGCTCGTTGAGCTTCTACATTCCAAGTGCATTTCCTGTCTTGTTTCAACAGCTCGTACAAGGGTGAGGCCAAGGTGTTAAAATCCTTGACGAATTTGCTGTAGTACCCGGCGCGATCCAGGAATGTACGGAGAGTGCGTTTCGAGGTGGGAACTGGGCTGCCTTGTATCGTCATTATCTTCTCAGGTAGCGGTTTCAGTTCGCCTTGTCCCACTTTATGGCCCAGTAAGGTGACACAGGTCTTTCCGATCTGGGA